TGCAAAGAACCATTTAAGCATGACATGGTTCTATGTAGAACTCATGGTTCAACCACTGCCTTCAGTAAAGAACCCTTGAAGAACCATCTTTTTTAAGTGGGTAGTTACTAGACACCAAAAGCAGCGTCCTTTAATAGGGTCGCATGTTTTACTACTTTACTAAGAATCATTCACTCAAAGGTTCTTCAGGGAACCAAAGGTGGTCCCTCTCTGTCTGAAGTCTAGACCAGGAATCCAGTTTCTAATCCTGTATTTTGTATTCACTGGTAGTCACCTGAACTGTTGATGTAACTAACTGGCCACCTTATGTCAAACCTCCAAGTATTTACATCCCAGACTGGAAACTGGATTCAATGTCCAGATCTGAAGACCTCAATGCTATATCATCACTCCAAGAAACCCTACTTGGCACCTTTATTTTGACGTGTATACTGTGTATCAACTCTTCTCTCCCTGTCCATACAGAGCAATGCTACACAGTCAAGGCGGTTGGAATGCATGTATACGGAATCGAGCAGTTCTCCACAAACGTTGAGCTGTCCTATTAAACTGCACGAGCGCCAGTTTAAAAAGATGCCCTGAGAAGCTACATGTCATGAAGAAAAAATGTAAGCATTTCCAAAAACTGGAAAAATATAAAAAAGGGTGTTGTATGCGAGAGGTATTGTCATCAGTTTGAGTGTGTGCAAGTATGAGTGAGCTTAATATTTGTCTAGGTGAGTATGTAGATCTTTGAAAGTAAGCATTGGAGGTAATCAGTAAAGACGGCTCGAATCTGTATTTAGTTTGTGTACATCCAAAACTTGCGCTATCCTGCTACTTACTACATTTACTGTACTATATAGTCACTATAAAATTTAGACGGAAGTGCACTTCAAACAGTCCAGAAACATTCCTTTCCGTTCTGAAGTGTCTGAACATGCCGCTGAAAAGATCTGATTACTGATCTGTAATTCTATGCTGGTATAGAATTAGAGGAGACTTTTCCTCTCATAGAATTAGATAGAAAACGTTCAAAAACCCTATAACAATTTAATATTTCTCGCATTAGCATTAGATTTTTTTATTCAATATTGTTAACAGTTTAACTGTAGCTGAAGTGGTAATTCGTAAAAAGGGTGCAAACAGTTGCTGATAGGCTTCCGTCTCTATTACAGCCTTTTCACAGGCCATAACTGGATTCAATCAGCTCTAATTAGTAGGCAAACTTTTTTTTTTTAAATGGGTGATGACGGGAATTTAAGGTGGACAAATACTAAATGTCAAGCGAATTTAACAGCCCAAAGTTTCCATAAGGTGGAGTAACTTTGCTTTTCGAACCAGTGATCTAGAACAATGCCAAAAACTTTGCCACATTGGTACCAGCCCTGAAAAGAAACACTACTTCTTTCTCATTTTCGAAGCCGTCAGGCTAAAGAGTACAAGGGGTTTAAGCCTAGTGAAAAACCCAGGCAGATATCACACACATTTATATCATGAGCACTAGTAATGCCATGATCACAACTGTCTACTGAGACATTTACACAAACACCTCATGCACTCAAACTCATGCCACTTATTTACTTAGTAAACGTTTTAGTCTATTATAACTATTTTTTGATTGTATAAATTCTGCAACAAAAAAGTTTCACTTTTCCTCTCATCACAATCATTGTTAGAGGTATTTTACTAAAATACATATCACAATTGTGTTCTATATTGTCCAGCTCTAGGTTCTAACCATCTCAAGAGCATGGTCTACCATACACTGCTAACGCTGTCTCCAAAATTCTCACTGGTGCTGACAAGCATACCTTAGTCTAATCTTACAAACAGTTGTATTTCCATATTTAAAGGAACAGTCCAACCTTATCCCCTATAAACATCTCTTCTTTTTTCTTTACTTTTCAGTATTTTATTATTTTGGTGGCATTTTTGGGAAATACACGCTTCTAAAATACAATACAGCACAAAAACCCATAGGCCTCCCAGGTGGTGTAGAACAATATTGCTTTAAAAACCAGTGTTGCTCACTTGTTTGAATGTTCTGGGAAGTTATTTGTTTCTGGCCACATCACTTCCCCATTTCCTCCCTCTCGAGTGTAGGATCACACAAGGCACGGCCAAAATACTACAATTAAATTAATAGATGAATAACAATTGTTTTATGCTCAAGATCTTTGGTGAATGTCAAAACTGTAATTCACAGTTCACACAATAACTTGTTGTGATGCCACCTGGCCATGGTGCAGAGATCAACAATGGCTGCTGCGGAGCTCGGTGTGGACAGATCATAAATGCTCTGCTTTTAGAGCTTGTTTACACTGAGCACCAGATACAGTCATGAGCATTAGTATGAGCATGTGCCAGTCAAGCATTCCGTTAGACAGCAATATTTGTAATTCGCTTTGCAACTAGCTTTGTTTTCTTATTTGCCACTGCTAAAATTTCCACCTTAATGGAGTTTTCAATGTTAAGTTAGCACCAAGATAAGGGTTGTAAGTTTAAACACAGCCTTTTACTTTAGATGCTGCAATCTGGAATCTGTAGCCTGTTACTGGAGCCTGTGGTCTTGGTTGTATCTTACAGCCAACATATTTATATACTTATAATACTGGCTTAATCTAAAAAGAACAGAACAATTATCTTGTAGAGAACCCGTTAGCATCAACGACAAAGTGTGCCGAGTCACCAACACAAACTGTTAACAAAAATGTGACATCACATTTCTGTTTTACATTCTTATGTGCATCACAGACGTCTATGTGAAATAGCAGAAGCAATGGTGAAAGTATGGCTGTAAGGCAATAAGGCTTGTCCTTGTGAGTGTGGTTATTTCAAGGGGGGGGGGGCACTTGCTCGATGTGACAGCATCAATCAGCAAATCTTATCAGCCTGTAAAATCATGTTTTCTGTAAAAGGCAAATGTCAAAACAGCAGAAACTTTGCATTTTACTATTTGTCGGATGGTAGATACAATGAAAAGTAATGTATATGTGAATGTGAATTACAAGTTTTATTTACTATTTCTCCTAAAAATAAAACAACAGACAAAATTAAGATGGCTTACAGGTTCAGGGATTTCATCTGGATGCACAAGTATTTTTTCATTGGCTCTTGCCAAGCACAGACAATGCTGGATATGGTTATTGACTTTAATAACTAGATTAGCAAAGGAAATGATAACCTACAGAGTTAGTTAGCTACCTAGCATATGCTACATAGAATCAGCTTAAAAACCTAAAGTAGCAGCATCAACATTATGCTATGAACGAGAATGGCTGTAATCTCAGTAAACAGATTTGCTAATGCAATGTACCTAATGTGCAGGGAGGAGTCTTAAATATTGACATAGGAGGTAAGAATGTAACTTAGCTATTATGCTCATTTTGACTTATAGCTAGCTAAATCTTTGTGGATTCATTCATGATATAGCAATGGATTTCACTGGCATCTCTCTATGCTGCATTTTATTAACAAGTTTATTAACAAATTTAGTATTTGCTTAATAAAAATGGCTCCTTGTTCTGCTACATAGTGTAACTTGGGCTGTTAACATTATTCATCTTAATGGTCATGTTTCATCGTTTATACACGATCACTGATTAATATCATGGAGCTGAAAGGGAAGGCAGATGGATTTGGAGGACTGTTCCATTTCTGTCCATTTTATATTATCAATTTTATTTACAAGTTACAGGTTTTTGCTGTAAAGATGTTCTGTTTAAATAACCAACATTTAACTTAATGTACTTGAGCATTATTGCTATTATTAGTCTGATAGATTCATCTAATCAAAATTGGTATGCTGGCTCAGAACCACAACATATACCAGTGAGTCAAAGTTCTCAAAAGGTAGAGGGTGTGGAGTCAACAAACCAGTCGTAATTTCTTTGTTTTTAGACAGCTGTATTGTAATGAAATTGCAAAATTAAAAAATTATGGACAAGATGAAAATGAAGACACTTGTTTGTGGTGTCAACCCAAATTTTTTAAGGTTAGATAGTATTTTGTTTTAAGCTCTTAAGCACCACCTCTGCATCTAGAATCTCAGAATCACTTTAGTATAACCTCTTAAGTTATTATGCTTTAAAACATACCTTTAATGCCTTTTGTACTTACATGTATATTATATTGTAATATGGGCTATTTCTATAAGATCTCTTTCCAAGCTAACTGAAATATTTTGGATTTAGTACATGATTGTTTCAAAAGGGCATTTGAAGTGGGTTAGAGTTTAAGGGTGTCCTGCTTTTTTTTTTCTTGTATCTTACTTATTTCTTGTATTTTATTTTTTCTTGATGTTTGTGTAGTTTTATATAACAAAACCAGTACCAGTTTCAATTCATTTTTCAACCTCCTTTCCAATTATCTGTGCTATATTGTGCTAAAAATTTGGGCTCAACATACAGAATAAAGTCTTGGACAGAACCAGAAAGAGGCTGGAAAAAAATTTTACTGTTTCCCGATGAGTAGATCCTTGATATGTTTGCTTCCTGAAAGTCAGGAACCGCAAGATTAATAGTTTTCTCTTGTATCTTCTGCTCCAAAAACCTGTTCTGCAGACTGTTTGCAGTAACACTCTTCACCACTTCAATGTTAATTTGCAGTCATATGTAAAAATGCATTCATGGTTGAGACGTCACAACCATAAATGTAAAATGATTTTTTTGGGGTTTTTTTTGGCTGGATAGTTTCCATATGTGCATGATGCATTTTGAACCTGTTGACATTTTTTTTCACCTACTACGTCAAACTCAGTTAACAAAAAGCAAGCAAAATTAATCATCCATTATCTGAGCCACTTAGGGACTGTGAAGCATAGAGAGTAAGAGTATGCTCCACTACTTCACTATTTTCAAGCATGCACATCACACATTTAAAACACACAGTATGGAGACTGAAGTTTTCTCCAATAACATTAGGGATACAGACAACATCTCTGCTATTTATACTCTTTTTGTTTTTATGGTTAGTTTATAAACTGATTTTTTCAAGTGTGAACAAAGTACAAGAGACAACACCAGGAATTAACCTTTACTTTTGATGCTCATTAGTGTTACTGTTTAGCATTTAGTTCACAGGAAAACATTTAATCAATGCAGACGTCTGCAGGTCCTGTTTGCTTTTGTCAGTTATATACATTGAAGTACTTTAAAAATCAAGTGGATTTTTAATCAGAGAAATTTAAGTCATCAGCTTTTACTTAATTTTAATAGTCACTTAAGCCTTGATCGCAATTTCACCCTCTGTACTGGAACATGTGGATAGAGAATGCTTCTTAGACTTTTCAGAGGCTTCTCAAATTTGCCCAGAGTTTTTTCTTTTCTTCTTAAACCTGTCAGTTCCAGTGCAATACAGTGTAGGGTGCATAAACATTACAGGCAGAACTGCACATCAGTTTACTTAAAATACTGATATATGTACATTGTAGACCTGGGAAAAGATAGAACAAACGCAACAGTCTGACAACTATCACAAACATTTAAATGACAATTATAATTTATTATTCTCAACCTTGAACCGACAAGTTTAAGGTTTTAGCATTTTATTTGAAATGAAAAGATTAAGTCTGAAAAGTACGATAATGAAAAGCTATATACAGTAAACATTGAGCAGTGCCTCACTAACAATTAACAAAAGTTTGCAAATGAAAATTAGCTTCGTAATATTTTAAACAAGTATGAAACCTTGTCAGAAAATGATGCAAACCAAACAAAAGCAGCCTCTGAAGATGATGGGATGAAAAGACTCAGAGACACCATGGTTGAGAAACACTCCACCATGGAGTTTTTCCAAACACTTTATTTAAGTCTGTACAATAAAGAATCTCCAGGAACTAGGAAAGAACGCTATGTTGATTCTGGCCCCATCAGAGAATAACTTCTTTTCTTCAGCATCTTCAGTCATTTAAGACACCATTGCCCCATTTAACGTCCTTCTTTCCCTCCCCCACACACGAAATGAGGCATTTTCCCTCTGCAGTGCCGCATTTCCCGACTCTCCATGAAGGACGATTACAGCGTTTAGTCTGTAAGGGCCACACTCTAACGGTTACATGGACACCATGCACGTCTAAGCGAAACCTGTACGACTTGGCCTCAGATCCATAACCTATTACGGTTTAAATATCTCCCTCTACATGGCAGCAGACAGTAATAGTCTACTGAATGTAGTCTATGTAGAAAGTGCTGTACACGAAGACTGAAGTGAACTTGAATGAATTATCAAACTGAGTACTCAAAATCAGTGCGCAGCAATTGACTTTTTGGTAGGTTAAACATAATATTTGGATTAATCTAAACCCATAGAACTATTTAACTCAAATAGGAATTTTAAAATCGTCTGCATAGTCAAGCTGTAGAGATGGGAACATTCAGTAAGAGTGGTTAGATGTGGAATGGTGCCTTCAGTCAGAACTTTTCATAGTGATGGTAATAGGAACCAGAGGTCTGCAACACAAATATGGCCACTTTCTTTACTGTCCAAAACTACCAGTGAACCTACACATGCTTTCTGTTTTTATATGTAATACTGATAATGGTAAAATAGTCTTCTTAGGATGCTAAGAAGCCCCATATGCACCTCTACACCATGAATGTATATTTAAAAATATATATATTTTAGTCCAAAACTTATCACAAATCTACCATACACATTGTTTCAGGCATCAGGCAATGCATTCTTAACCATTTCATATATTAGCTTTCCAAGATGGACCTTTCAGAGCCATAAACATTTCGGACATTTGGTTCCCATCAACACCGCTATGAACAATTCTCAGTCATTTCTCCAGAACAGAGCATTTCACATGAAATTACTCCAAATGACTGTTTACGTATTAAGGATGAACTTATGCAGAAATTTTGAAATGTAATTACTATTTAGTGCCAGTGGAAAAGTTTAGACAAACATCCAAACTCAATCAGGCGAGCACGCGCACACACACACACACACACACACACACACACTTTTTGTTTAGAGGGATGGATGAACAGAATAAAATCATTCCATATATTGCATTTTAACTGGAAATAAATTCAATGCCAAAAACACTATCAAATAAAAGGAGGAGCACCTCATTCTTTCTTTATCTTGCAATTTCAAGGGTCGTCCGCTTGCCTGATCCATCTTGCCACCAGCATTTCAAAAGGGGTTCGCTCCATTCTTCTCCACCAGTAATCATCCCTTCTCACTGATTTCTTCACAGTCCATGTAGAGATTAAAGGACTTTCAAATCCCATCCCCAACTCACTTCAGAGCACAGATCTTCAAGATGCCCAAGACCAATGAGTGTACGTGGGTTTTTATTATATGTACTTGTCCATCAATGTAAATTAGTGCAGCTATCTTATGAGGTCTAGTGAAGGAACCAAACATTCAAATCCACGTTGCATGGTTGCCAGCAGAAAGCTTCATGTCTGCTAGTCCAATATTATAGCATTTGGACATGGATACCTCATCAGTTCATCAATCACTTAGTAGCGTGGTGGTAAGAAAGGTCTTTTAGGGGGGTAAAACACACCCCCAGCTCTGGGAGGTCCTGCAAAAGGAGGGCCATGTCTCTTGCCTCTCTGAAATTGTGGTTCGCTGGGATATGGCATATGTGGTGGAGGAGGACGACGGAGAGGTCTCTGCGGTGGGTAATGACCAGGGTGTGGAGCACGATAGGGATGGGGGGCAGGAGGCCTGTGTTCAAGATGAGGACGTAGTCTATGTTCCGGGTGGCGTGGTGGTAGATCTCTGTCTTCAGCATAATACCCGTGTGACTGAGGTGAGGGGGGGTGCTCAGCCTCATAAGAAGGAGGAGAAGGGCTACTAGGGGGGTGGTTAAAGTATGGATCAACACAGGGCTCCTCAGATTGAGACTGTGGAGGACTACTAGCCTCATGGTAGCCTCTTACAGCAGAGGGAGGGTTCATGCGGTGGGGGGGCATACTAGGGTGGCGCTGATGATGTACAGGGCCTCTGGGACGATGGTTATAGTCCAAAGGGCCATTCTGAGGGCCTGGAGGGCCAAAGCGTGGAGGGGCAGCACGATGCCTAGGCCCAGACACATTCATATGGCCATGGAAAGGCTCCTTTGCCTGGATGTGATGGGGGACACGTTCGTCATAATCTTCATAACTAACAGGATTTTCTGCAACATATTCAGGAACATGACCACCAGCCTGCATCTCGTTGGCAGGATCCAGGTGCTCAACAGAATCTTTGACTCCACCTCCAACTGGAGGCAAAAAATCTTGTGGAGGAGGTGGAAGCTGGGGGATTGGTGGGAGTGGGGGTAGTTGGCTGTTAAAGAAATCAGAAGGAGAATTGACATTTGGATCTTGGCTAGGTTCTGCAGAGCGGTATGGTTCTCTTCCATATGCTTCAGAGCTGGCCACACGCTGCTCTTGACTATCTCCATATGTTTTACCATACCAACCATCACCTGCTAAGCCAGTATTGTCTCCGGCGTTACCAATAACGGAATAAGGCTTTGCCCTTTGAGATACTGAGCCAATCCGCTCCATGGTTTCAGAGTTTTCAGTTGACAACTGATTGTTGCTTGGCATGGATGATGGCAGCAGAGATTCTACATGTTGACTGCGTCCAGCCTTGGCTTCTGCAGGAGAAAGCACAGAATTTCTGAAGTCCTGTTTTGCTGTAAAATCCCTCTGGTAGATCTCTCCTCCATTTTGTGCCCCAGGACCAAACTGTGAACCATGAATTCTTTGTTCTTGCCATGAATCATTAGTGTAAGTGGCCACTGATGATTCTCTATCCACTGGGGGTGCAGAATTGGCTGCCAAAGCTGCAGTGGTTGATGGCGTTTGGAGAGGCCCACCTTTATACATGAACGGTTGTGCTACAGGATCATCCATGACTTCATCTTGAGTCGGAGTAGCACCAGACTCATCCCTCACAGGGGTCCCCCCTAGGTTCTCTGTGCTTGCTAAGGGACTATCAACAGCCTTAGGCCAGGGAAGAACAGATGGGAAACCCATATTCAAGCCTCTTATTCCTGGATTCACCTGCAGGAAATTATCAATTTTGGAATCCAGGCTAGAGATGGCAGAGGGAATATGCTCTACTTTATCTTTCTCCACATTCGTCTGAAGATCTCTGGTTTGCGCAATGTTGGGAGACTGAGAAGGCTGGAGAGGAACAACTCTTTGAGGGGTTGAGCCTCTTGCCAATGGTGGAGTAGATGACACTGAAGTGGTCTTGGGAGATGCATGGGCTTGTGCTAAGAGAGTGGGGTCTGGGGATGGGTCCATATCTGAGCCTGAAGGAGTAGAGGTCATTCCAGTCTGACTGTTCAGCAAAGATGACAATCCTGAAAGGAGAGATGGACATGGAGAAAAGAAAGAAACAAGGGTATAGGAAAAGCTGGAGTAAACATGTTTGTAAAGAAGCCAATCACAAGGATAAAAACCTTCCTTCCTCCTGCTTTCTTTTTTCATGTCACTCCACTTTTTCCCAAAATACCTCTATTAACCAACCATATTATACCCAGAAGCAGCATTTTAAATGATTCTTTTATCAATTAATTACCTCCATGTATCTACAGTATTCCATAAATCCTTCTATCCATCCACGGATCCCCAAAATTCAAATTACATTACCAGAAGTGAAATTACTTATTTGCCAATTTGTCGCATAAGGCTGTACCATGTTTCCACCAGCATCTGCAAAATCAGTGTATGCAAACACCATGCACCTACCAAATACTCTGTGCACTTTCAATAATGACGGATACATTCCCATATATAGTACAGATATACTTAGAGGAAAAAAATAGATTAAATTTTAGGTTTAGATTTAGTAAAGCCTAAACGTATTGATTATTAAGGTGTAATAAAAGAGGGAGAGGCATCCCTGTCACAGATTGCTGTGGCATTTGAATGACCCGAAGAGCAGGCAAACACTTAAGACAGTTGCACCACTTGACATTCCAGCTGCAATGTTTTTGACTAAACCACAGCCAGTAGGCCTCTCACCATCCAAGTCTGTCTACAGTCATTAGAATTCAAACTGCTGTGGACAAGAATGACTAGAGACAACAGTTATAGCATTTGCAAGGTGGTTGTCCTAGATGGTTGCACTGATACTGTAACTGGTATGTATAATGTCAGGGCATTTTCACACTTAGGTCTGCAACCAGGACAGATCCTGGGGTCTGTTTGGGGGAAGGGCTCATTGGTGTAGTTTTGTTTAAACACAGAAGAATTTCTTCCAAGCCGTGAATCAACTGCACAATTCCATACATCACTTTTGTGTACACATTTTTTTTGCAAAATGGTAGATAACAGGTAAATCCTTTTGGTGGTTCTGACAACTAAGGGATAGCAATTGCCAATGGACTCCTACTTTTAGTGCTATGCTCCTTGGATAGGCAACTGACATTCAAACAGTGTTGAACAGTGATTATCAGATGGGTGGCTTGTCCTTGTGTGAGAACCCGTAAACAGACAGCTATTCTCTCTTGGGAACATTTTCAGCCACGAGACATGCGTTTTTTTTGCAGTGAGCGCAAACTAAATCTCTGGTTTTCTCCAGGCTTCAGGCATGCAATCTTAACATGTGCATTACCAAAAAAGTCAACAGGGCCATAGGGCCAATTCAGTCAGTCATTCATTTTAGCCATAAGAGGGATAATGTGGACATTCTGGGAACTTCTAGAGATTCCGCTTGAGACTCAACTTCAGCAGACTTAGCATGTGCATTACCCAGTATTTATAGCCAAACGCATGAGATGATGGGAGGAGTTTCCAAAAAACTAAATTAAAATGAAATATTTTAGACAAACAAACAAAGAACCAGGAAGTGAATCGAGCTGAAGTGCCCTATCAACAGCGACCAGGGGTCGGTTCTCTGAACAGACAAATTTCTCTGAAAAAGCTCTTGGTCTGGAAAAAAAAACTGAAGTGTGAAAACACCCCTGAAGCGAACACTTATTTAGATTAAAATGAACTATTAGCTACTCAGATTCAAACAAAATGACTGAGCAACAGTCACTGATCAGTAAACGTTATTTTATCCTTTGGGCTGGCTGAACCACTACTGTATATTTATCTAATCAGTGTGTAAAAATAGGTGTCTTGAGTATACAAGAGGCCAAAAAAAACATTAATAATAAAATAAAAGTTTTGTAAAAAACAAGTAGTCAAGTCAAATAATCTTTTTGCTAAACTGATTTTTTTTAACTTAAGAGATCTAATATCTCAAAGCAGTGTATGATTTAACTGTTTTTTGTACTTGTATCGAAACAAGTATTACTTCTGGACCCTGCATCAAAGTCAAGGTTTCAGTACTGAAATATTTTGAACAACATCTATCCCTGGTTCAGGCACACTATTTAGTCTGCACTCGTCCACGTTTATTTCTTCCAATTCAAATGTACTATGTTACCACAGCTATTAAGCTAACAGCACAAAGCTGTTTTGAATACTCTGAATTCTTAATTCGTGAAAATGCACTAGGGAATACGTCACACCAAACAGAAACCTTGTTCACTAATCCTATAACTCTTTTCCAATAAACTTTTTGAAGTTCTCCTTTCTCACCCTGAAGGCCAATTCCTTGCGCCTGGGTTTTAGACAAGGCGTTGAGCAGGGTGCTGGGGTTGAAGTCCACCCTGGAGAGCATGCTGGCCAGTGGGTTGGGTGCAGGAGCTGCTGCTGGGGCAGAGGTGGTTGGGGTTTTCAGAGATGAACTTGCTGTGGTAGAGGTGCTTGAAGTACTAGTGGACGAGCGGGATGCTGGGCTTACTCCTACAGGAGTGAAAAAGCAGAGAGAAGTTAAGCTGATGATCTTGCTGCAGTGTTCAAAGTCCTTATTTTATTTATCTGTAAAATACATGTACATATATGTGTGTGGGATATATGATCTTACCAGAGTTCTTCATAACATTTGTGAGTGTGCTAAGGATGGAGCTGATTTTGCCTAGATCCACACCAGCAAGGTTAATGGGAAGTGACGTGGTTGTTGGAGTCACTGATGCAGCTGGGGTTGTGACCTGTTTCGCTGGTTCGGCCTGACCTGACTGAGACGGTTCAGTGACACCAAGCCTAGGACTTTCACTGCATTCACTCACAGGATCAGGCTGCTCCACTCGCTCTTCCACTGTAGAGTGGATAAATGAGTAAAAAGAAAGGAAACCTTGTGGTAATATTTACAGTGTGTTCTACCAATCCAACAATGTTAAACTTTTCACATACAAGACTCAGCTTTTGTACTGACTAGGGATGAGAATTCTGACTATACTTTTTAAACATTTAAGTGACTTACCTATGATGGCTGGCCCTTCTGTCTCCTCCACATCAGAGAGCTCCATGTCTTCTACCTCACGGTTGTCTTTGTCGCCAGGAGATGAGAGTGGACTAGGGGCATCACCCAAGGCAATCAGGTCTTCCTCCATAGCTTGGCCATCCAGCTCTGGGTCTGGGGTACCAATACGTGGCAGGTTGTGGAAGGGTGACTCGGAGCCTGTGGGTGAGGGGGCATCTTCAACAGGAGAGGGGACTGGCGAGTCATTGGGGTCAGGTAAAGAGGATTTGATTGTATCCAGCTTGCGCTTGAGATGCAATACTCGGTTGGCAAAAGTTTGATAGGCCTGAAGAATGAGAGACAGTTATTAGTAATATGTAATGTAATACAAAACTATTCCACACATTCTGAATCATTAGTCTAACCCAGCTCATAGATGCCTCCTACTTGTATCCTGTAAAGAGTAATTACTCAGTTAGGATCTACGTGAGCAGAACTACACTAACTCATAGAACTACATTGTAACTTACTTTTGTAACAATTTTGACCTCTTTGTACTGCATTTCATAGAAGATGTCTGCATTCTCTAGAGTCTCCATCAAGGAAGGTCCTTTTTTGACCTGTCCATCCAGAAAGGCCACAAAGTCCTGCAGCTTTGTGCTACCATCCTCAAAATCTTTAGAAAATCGCTTGCCCCCTGCCTTATCTGGAAGAAAAGATGGCAGAAAGAAAGAATTTAAACATTTTCACAAAGTAGAAACATGCTGGCACTAACAGCTATCGAGCATCAGTTTTTCATAAGGTAATTCTAAAATGTAGCATGGAAAAATGTTCACATGTAAGAAATAACTAAGCAGTCAGTGTGTTTATACGGTAGTCACCTTTGAGTTTCTTTAAAGCCGTTGTGCTGCACACATCCACTCTCATAGCAGCTAGCTGCTTCTCTCTTAGTTCAATCTCATCCATGGAGTTCCTGTACTTCGTCAGTTGCTCAATGAATGCCGAGGGCTGCCCAAAAACAGATTCACAGAAAAGTAATTAGACATTTCGTAGAAACTGTTACAAGAGGCATAATCTAAGGTTTAACATCTGTGAATCTCTTGTCCATTTTATTCATTTTACTGTGTTTGTAACCCTACAGAAATAAATGTTATATTTCTCTGTAATGCTACTGCAGGTGGATTTAGTCAGAATCCTCTATAATGTTATAAATGTTAACATACTGGCATCAGCAGGTATGTTCAAGAACAACATTAGTTATCAGTATCATCTCACACTTTCTACATTGGTGTAACCCTAATTTCAAGGTAGGTCCACATAAAACTCATGCTTACAAAAAAGTATTGCCACTCACCACAAACTCAGCTACTATCTTGGATCTCAGTGCTGCCTTTGGGTTGACAGGAGCTGAAATAAAAACATGCATAAATGAAATATCACTCAGCAAATCACTGCAAATTACCCACTACGCAAGGAAGAACAAAAATCTTACACACACACACACACAGGTATCGGAAGGGTAAGAGTGATATTTGCATACCATGTCCAAAGTAATAAAGGATTAAAATGTTGAGTTAGTCTACATTGACTCTGCTGAGACATTATCCAGTATAGCTGATAATACTGAACAGTGTGGTGAAAGACTTTTCACCTGGTGGTTCTTCTCTCTGGATCAGACCAGTCCTTAGCTGGTTAATAAGCTCCTCTGAATAAACATTCCTCTCCTCCCAGATGGACAGGATCCTCTCCACAGATTTGCGCACCTGTGAGTCTTTCACATTACTGCAGAGAGACAGAAAATGTTATTTTCAATAACGTATACTACTAAGGGGGAGAGAGAGATTAAAGTTCATAGAATATAGAATACAGGAATATCATGAAAGGGGACAAACAGTGAAGATTTGAGGACAAGAAGTATTTTCTTTTTGTAACAGTTTTGCATTTTTATTTCTTTAATAAAGATGGTATTAATCATAATATAGCATTAATATTCCTTGTATGTGTAAAGCCTGCCTATATCATAAAAAAAAAAACTTGAAAGTGGTCCATTATGCATTTTGGAACTAAACTCTTCAATTAGACATGATCACCAAAGAGGAAGAGTCAGTTCATGCTTATTAGTTTTAAGTAATGGATGTGGACAAAAACTGTCTCACTTGACAAGCTTAATCGCCTCTGGAAGAACATCAGTGAAGGTCGTGCGGTAGACGATGGCATTTTTCCTCTTGCAATTCTGAATGACATCATTAGCCAGGTAGAAGAGATTGAGTCTGTGAGATGCGTCCGCTAAAAAAAAAAAAGGAAAAAGAAATTCAGTTCAGCTAACTTGCATAAGTTACATATATGTGACAGAGTCCTTGTTTGTACATAATTCCATTTTAAGTTGTATGTAGAACATATTAGCAAAATATTGATGGATATTATCAGTATGCTTAAAAAACAAAACAAAAAAAAAAAAAACACATGATGACTATGCTGTTTTTTTGTTTCTAAGGTATTTATTGTGTAGTCTATATCCTGTATCAAACCTGAACAAGTTCTGACTTCATAACTTTCTACTGCAGCAAAAGGCAAGCTGTGCTTACTACACAAAAAGTTAGTTTATAAATATGTTTCTGACCAGAAACACAAGCATGTTTACTCACTCCAGCTGAAGTAGACTTCTCTGTACAGTTACTGCATTACATGCTGTGCTAATACCGATTATTAAGGAAACATGCCATGAATAATTCTCAGAACCAAACCAAACGGTTGTCCTTGGATGCAGCTCACAGCGTTATGAATGTCAATGATCTGAGCAGTCTTTTTAAATAAGCAAACTTCTCCAGTCTAATTAAATACAACTTTTTTTCACGGGGTACATCAGAAGTGTCAACTTTTTTAGGTAAGAATATTCATATGTACACTGCATATCTACACTGACAACTTTTTCATAAACTATTTTCGTTACACTAGGAGATGGACCTTTAGTTCTCTAGCACAGTGATTCCCAGCCCTGGTTCTGAAGGACCTGCTGTCCTGTACATTTGTGTTTGCCCTGCTCCAACTAATCCACTGATTAACAAACCCTTCTTGTACTAACTGTACTAACACTTTTGCACACAGTCACCATTTTATGGCATCAAAATCATGGGCAATTTTACATTAGCCAAAGCAAATAAGCAATAAAAATAAACCATCTATAAGGTTCACTGTGTGCTGAGAATCTGTACCTTAGCACTGCAGCTTTTTCCTACAGCCAAGAAAACAACTATATAATTAAAATATACAAATAAACAAATAGTGTGTGCTATGGTACATCCTAGTCATTTCATAAAATTTTCATGAAATATTCTTTATATAAATCACGCAGATCCACAACAGTGTATAATGTAGAAGCCTTTTTTCCCTCAAATAACTTTTTTTTCCCTCAAATAAGATTTCTTATTTCATATGCTGCAATTTTGCAGTGCTCCTTTCAGTAAATATTTCAACCCAACTCTGAATAATACTGGAGGAGCCTGCCAGCTGTTTGCCAAGATGGGTGTTAAACAAAACAAATAAGCAAATAAACAAACCAAAGCATCTTTACTTTGTAACACTCAGAGACCAAAACAGAGTGCAGTATTCTCATTTCATCAACAGCCCAACACAGCATTACCTTATTGCAGGGGAGTCAAACTGGGTTCATTCCAGGCCAGAGCTCTGCAAAGTTCAGCATTCTGCCTCAATAAACACAGCTGATTCTGCTCCTCAGCTAGTTAGCAAGGCCTTTTAGAGCTGAATTCAGGGAGTTTGAAGAGGAAAACACAAATGTCTGCAGAGCTGTTGCCTGGAAGAAACCCAGTCTGACACCTCTGCCTTAAAGTAAGACAACCACTTACTACACCAGTGTGAGTAGTATGTACTCACTACAGCTACATTTTTCTCTTCTCTTAGCTGGGCAGCGAGGCAAGTTTGACCGGGACGCCCAACTATTTAAAGAAACACTGCACTACAACCGCCAACTAAAAAGTGAAAGTGAACTTGAATACACAACTAGACACACACTAGCTGCCTAGCTAGCTAATCCTAGCTGAACAGGACCTGTGTTTACTATTTACCTTTACTGTGTATCTACTTACTCAACTTCAAATCTGTTGCGAATATTTTATTACAAGTGCCTATTAGCTAGCTACTTTAGTTAATAGTGTCAACCCATAGCATGCAGTTGACCTGTTTAAAATATAACTTAAGTTTAATCACCGTTTTGGAGATGCATGGCCACATACGGCTGTGATACAGGAAATCTAGTCTAATACAGTTCTTCATAAATTCTGGACAATAATTCTGTAGTACCGTTGTTTTTTTTTTTAAGATTACTGGCCTAATCTGATCAGACTGCAGGTGGTAGTTCTTTGGTCACATGCATGCTGTACACAGACAAATCAGAGTTCACCTCACATTAATAAAGAGCCATCAGAGACACCAGGGCATCAAGCAGAGTTTGCTATAATACTGAGATTATTGTTCAGTTTAATTGTGGAAAAAACCTGTACAGTTTAGGCTGTACACTTTTTTTCCTTAGAGATAAAACCTTATCAGACTTGTCAGTTCATTACAGAACGTTTCTCTCTCTCTCTCTGCCTTTGTGTTTGTATTTAACTGTATGAGAGGCTGATTTTAACTGTCAAATAAGTAAAAATACATTTCTGATTTTGTATGAAGTAATCAATATGATTACCAGAGGAATCTCAGAGTAAAGAAAGACACCACTGGATAAACTGCTGTTGCAACTAACGATCTGAAGGGTAGAAATGTATTATACAGGTGTCAGTTAATTTATACAGTTTGAAGGCCGTGAATGTAATGTGTACTGTTTGTAGAAGATGACAATGTAAGCTAACATTTCTGAAGCTGATGGGCTGTAGGGCTGTCACTAAAAACAACATTAACTGGAATCTACTCATAGTTTTGACTCAAACAAGTAATCTTTTTTTAATGCAGATTGAATTAAAATTTTAAAGTCTCCAGAGCCTTTAAGGGATTCTAAACTTCTTTGGGAACAGACAAACAAGGAAACCTTATATGATCATTTGACCATGAAATGCATGCAGTTTAACATAAACCTTGTTCCTTGTACAGTTCACAAGATTTATGTGTAAATGTGCACTAGCAGAGCAGACTGTGATCAGTCTCGGGACTCAGAAGTGCTTTTTCTCCTGAAATATGTTTTGCTTTTGTTTGTACAGATCATTTCCATTGATGTAGTCAAGTCAACTCAAACATTTTCAGGTTGTGATTGTGGATACACAAAAAAATAACAATTACTCAAGTAGTTTTTACTTTTCTGCTACTTATTTACTCAAAGAATTTCCATTACTAATACTTTTACCTGTACTCAAGTAAATTATCACCAGTGACAGCACTTTTACTTAAGTAGTGATTTGCAGTACTCTTTCCACCCCTGCAGTCAGCCATAGCTAAAGTAGTTAGCGCTAAAGCCCCACCAGGTAGTACAGTCTCTGCATTCTCAGTCATGTCATTAACAATGCACATCCTTGGAGTTTCACAGCAGCAAAGTGTAATATTATACACTTACTTACTTGTCACTAGTGATGAAACCATTACCAGTTTCTCAGTAAACCATGGTAAAATTCCAGACAGTTAGTATTACATTTCAGCTTCAAATGTATCACTAAGGCCCAATCCCATTTCACCCCTTGCCCCTACCACTTAGCCCTTAGCCTTCTGTTTTGTGCATTCACCTCTATGGTTAAGGTGTCCCAGTTTTTGTTGAGATGATCGTTTTCTTCATAACAAGCATACATTTTTTATTGTTTTTTAAAAATCGCTAATAGCATGCTAATGTCTCGGTAGCTAGCTAGCTAACTTTCCCGTTCCACCTTAAATAGTCCAGCAGTTTCTGATGCCTGAAGCGCCAGAATTTAACTGCTGCACCATTTAAGTTGGAGCAGGAAAATTCGAACAAGAAGCTGGTGAATAGCTGACTTCAGCTTTGTATAACCAAAGATTTAGTGGTAGGCGATAATAAATAATTGTCTTATAGCCCCTCTTTGAAAACATGTGATGCTCTAAATGTAACTAAAGCCCAGAAATGAAGTTATTAAATGTTAATGAAGCAAGGTTAGTTTTGAGGGTTGTCCCATTTCATAGGGCAAGATTTCAACCAATACCCCTTGTAACTCAGTTCCAAGGGGTTAGGGTGACATTCGAAAACAAGGGGTAGGGGTAAAAAGAAGAAATGGGATTGGACCTAAAATGCTGGTACATTACAGCACTTTGGAAAACTCTCATTAAATACTGTCTTGTATGAACCAAAGTTAACAACAGTCTCTCAGACACAGGCCTGCAAGTGTAGAATGCAACATGGCAGAAGCCAGTGACAGCACAGATTTTTCAGAGATTTTTCAGCCTTCTAAGAGGACTGAATCTGAAGTGTGGTCATGTTTTGTTTTTTATAAGAGTGAAGAGGAGAGTGATGGAAGATGGTCACCCAGTCTGCAGAACATGCAGAAAGGAAACTGTTGGAGCCTCTCCTGGTGCCACCTTTAATCTTACTGCACATTCTATATGGTTTTCATGTTTACATAAGGTATTGACTATATTATTATTGTAATGTTTATGCAAACAGAATGCGCATAATGCTGCTAACTTTATTTGTGGTTTTCCATACAAAACTTATGCAAACTGAAATCATTTGACCATCAGTAGTTTTGAACATTTTCAGGACATTTTAACAGTACTGCAACAACACTGATAACTGTGATAATTTTGTACACTATAAGCATGACATTAAATTTTCATATTGTTTCCTCTCTACTCACCACGTTTTACTAAACTGCTGGTCTGTATATTTTCTTCATATTTCCATGATGGATAGTGGAATAGTGATTACAGTACTGACCCCTCGATTATTTGAATACCTGTACACATCCCTAATGCAGACGGCATTAGTGACAGACAGCAGAGTTTAGTGCATGTTCAGGTATAAAGCCGTTTTTGAGTGTTTAAAAAAAACTTCAAAAAACATGGTCACCCTCTCGGTGACTGAAAAATAAATGTGTATATGCCTCAACAGTTATTAAAGGGACATCGTGATAGCGCTCACACACACAGCAGGACATTAACTAACTTTACTTAGTCATTAGTTTCTCCAGAGCATGTGATGCAGAAAATCCCAGAGTGCAATGCCTTCTTCTCCAGTGCAGTCCATCATGCAAATAACAAACAAAAAGTAAAACCTCTGACTAATAAAGCACAAACTTGCTATGAGGGTTTGGTAATAATGGAATACATGTAATAGT